GCTGAGGACAAAACTATGAAATCTGCATGGACCCGGATGCGGCAAGGAGCCTCAGCCAGGACTCCTGGGCTCCCCTGGCTCTGGGCACAGCCTGTTTGTACTGGGAGGGCGACTCTCACCTGTGACCTGGGCCTCTGTGGTGAGGTGCTTGGGCTCCTCTGTCCAGGGGGTGGCATGGACGGCCACGCTCCAGTCACTCCACGTGCCGATGTCATTGTCTTTGGCAGCCACCTGGATGATGTACTCCTTGCCAGCATAGGCGTCCGTGATGGTGTGTGATGTCCCGTCCGACAGCTCAACCTGAGGGCAGCAGCAGGGACAGGAGGGCAGTCAGAGGAGCCCTAAGACAATCAGCATGTTTAACTCGTCTAGAGGATGATAATGAGACTTTTGCAGCACTTCGGGAAGTGCTACAGGTTTTTGGGTGGGGGCATGACCCCAGGACAGGGATGTGGTAGGAGAGAGCTACAGCTGCAAAGGTCTGGTAAGACCCCATCCTGCTCCCACATTCGTGGTGATGGAGTGGAGCAGCTTCCTCTAGAGGTCACCAGAAACTAGCAGATGTGCAGGCCAGGCTCCACTTGGACAAGTTAGGGAGCAGGGCAGCGACTGGGGTGTGCTCAGGCACATGCTTTCTGAGCATCACTGCCAGTGCTGGGAGGCCTCCCCTGCCAGCATACCTCTGGCCACCCCGCTTCTCTGCCTGCTGGCATCCCACCAGCTTGGCGTGCATCCCTCTGACTTGGCCCTTGGACAAGGATCAAGCTGTGTCCCTCTGTCTTTCCAGGAAAAATCCCCTCTGTCCTGTTGTTACTGCTGCCTGGGCATGGGAAGTCCTGGTCTCTTCCTGGGGATGTGGCTTCTGGTGCAACCCCAGACTGTGTCCACACCTTTCAGGGATCTCTGATCCACTTGAAACTTGGTTCAAGGATGGGGAATGCAGGTTCTTAGCAGAAATGCACCAGTGAGAAAACACACCTAGCTGATAAGGCAGGAGAAGTCAGCCCTCAGGTGACATTCCAGGGATGGAGTCAGGTTTGGCCTCAGGCTCCCAAGGGCATGGAGGGGACCAGGGCAGGAGCATCTCATGGAGGTTGTGTCAGAGATCCCCCTCCACCCAAGCTCTGAGGCTGAGGACCAACATGCTGCCAGCTTCATTCCCCTCCTGAGCTGCCAGTGCATGGCACAGGGGGACACAGGGCACCCCTGGTCCTTCCTTTGTGCCCTGGCTGACACAAACCACCTTCCCTCCAGACACATGTTGGTAATAAGGATGTTGAGGGGGATAAGGCACGGTGTGGTTCTGACGCAGCCCATCTGCCAGGGCTGGTGCCCAGCTGTGGGACCATGCTTGAGCAGAAGCAGTGGCAGTTCCTGGGTGGGGGAAACTTCATGGTACAACCCCTGTGGGGTCCTCCACATCTCCACAGCAACCCAGGAGAAGATCAGGCACAGGATCTCACTGCCCTATGGAGCACCAGCAGCTGAGTTTTATTAAGAGCTCAGTTCAGTGATAGGAGCAAGATGGAGCTGAAAACTTTTGCCTTGTCCTTGATCACATCTGAAAGCTCAAACAGAGAAAAGCTGCACTGCTGGGGTGCCTGAGGGTACTTAGGCCAATGCACCTGTGGGATGAGGCTGCCCTGGCAGTGATGCTTTACACATGCAGGGATGGTGTGTACACCAGGGACACATGTGACAGCCTAGCTGGCGGCTGGTGTGGTTAATCTCATCACCCTGCTGCTTGCAGGGGTATCAGAACAGCAGGAGCCCACCCTGAGAAAGATGCAGCCCTTTTCTAGTCCCCCTAGTACAGCACATGCAACACCCCAGCACAGATTTAATCCATTTGGCACACAAACTGCAGCCCTGCCCTGGCTTTTACAGATGCTCTGGGGGATCCCTTCCAGGAATTGGAGAACTTTTGCTTTCTTGTTCCAGGTGAGAGCCTTTCCTTCCCTGTTCCATCTCCCAGGACCACATCCAGCCTGCTGCCTGGCACAGCATGATCTTGGGGCTCTGTGCTCCCAGCTGCTCATGCTGCCCAGCCTGAGCCCACAGGAGCCCCACATCTGGAGCACATCTGGAGGCAGGCTTGGCCAGCACATCCCTAACCATCAGGGAGCAAAGGGCCTCCTGCCGCCTGTGAGGCATGAAGCGGCTACCAAACCTCGTCAGGGAGCAGTGCAGAGAAAGGTGGGGGTCTGTCTCACAACTGCAGAATTTGGGGCTGAATGGGGGGAGGCTGAGTCCTGTCTCTCCTTGCACCACTGTGCAAGTGCCAGCGGTTTCACTGCAGGGCTTGTGCCAACCTGAGATGTGCCTAAGACCTAAAACACCATTAGCCAAAGCACTGGGACAACTGGTGCCCAAATCCACCCCTACCATCTAGCAGACACTTTCCTACCATGTTATGGATCTCACCCATATGTTATGGGTCTGATCTGTTGGCATGGGGTGCCTGTCGATGGGGGCTGAGGTCAAAGCGTGGCTGAAGGGAGCTTGGCACTAGGGGCAGATGAACCCAGGGACACTGATGGTGGTCTGTGCAGGGTCTCTCTGAGTTTCCAGCACTCTGAAGAGGCTGAGTGCCAGTCCTGGGGTCTCAGGTGCTGCCTCTTGTCCAGATAATGGGGTCAGGCTTAGGGCAGTCCAGTTTAGCAGCTCGCAGGTCCCCAGTACAGTCTATACCAGGGGGGCGGCTGCTCCCATCCTGGGGCTGGGCACAGCCCATCCTATCCTGCAGGAAATGTGTTTTCGACTATTTAATTTATGGGATAGGATAAAAAAACTGAAACCCTGTGAGGTCTGTGCAGAAGGGAGGATGGGAAAAATAAGATGATGAGAATGCTGGTCCCTTCTGCAGGACACAGCTGTGCATCCTCCAGCCTGGCCAGCGGGACAGGACCGGATGGGACGTGCAGCACTGTCCACGCCTGGGTGGGATCAGCCCCAGGCAATCTGGTGGCATCTCCCAGTTTGGATGTCAATGCCAAGGTGATCAAGCTCAACTAATTCCTAATGACAACTAGCTGTGTGAGCTGCCAGATCCCTGCAAGCCTGCTTCTCCTGGCTTGGCCAGTGCTGGGCTGGGGGTGCCTTGGAAGCAGGGAATGATCCCAGGGCTCGGAAAGATGCTTGGGTTATCTGACTGGTGTGTGGATCTCCCTAGGTTTTTCAGCATCCTCTGAGCTCTCATGTTGCTCCCTGAGCCCCACAGAAAGCAGGCTGCAGGCAGGGCAGCCCTGCTGAGGTCCTACTGGCCTGGCCATGCTGTTGCTCTATCTGGATGATTTTCTCTAGCCCAAAGAGCCCTCCCAGCTGAGTGCTTCCCCTTGAGAGCAATTCCTCCCTCTCCCCAGCTGCAGCCAGCCTGCAGCTGAGTGTTTGCAGATGGGACATTGCAGGCACAATAGGGTCAAGGCTGTGCCTTGCCTGGGGAGGCCCTAGGCTGGAGAACCTTCCTTGTAGGACCTGGGAGGATGCTGCCCTCTGCTCCCCTTTAGACAGCAGATAACAAGAGACAGCATAGAGAACAGTATCCATCTCTCCCCACACACATGACATCTGCATGCCACACTTCTGGGCTGGGCAGCCAGGGGACACATCCAACATTTGCCATGGTAGGTGAGAAAGTCCCTGGGTGGGTGCCCAGGGCTCAGCACAGAAGTGCAGCAGCAGATGGGAAAACACACAGGGACTGGGTCCAACTGGACACAGACAAGGAAAGCCAGGGGAGGGGAAACTGGGGAGGTCATGGGGGGGACGGATGGACACACAGCATCAAAGGCAGAGGGAGAAATTCCTTAATCCGCGTCCCCGCCACACAGAGACAAAAGTTGGAAGAAGGCTGCGCATGGCAATTTTTTTGGCCGGGGGGTCTGCATGTTGCTGCCTGCCTTTGTGCACCTGCCAAAAGTTTTTATTGCTCCCAAAATTAGTGAGGGATCAGTAGCCAGTGCAATGCAGAGCTATTAGCATTGCAAAAAAAAAAGAAAAAAAGAGAGAGCAAGAGAAATGAAAAAAAGCCCTTGAACCCAGTAATTCAGCCGACAGCTTGCGGAGGACAGCGTGGGCTGGGATTGCTTTCTCTGCTGTGGCCACGTACCCTCTTCAGCCTGCTTGGGAAGATAAGAGGGCTGCCAAGGGACAGCCAGTGCCCACCCACTGCCCTGAGCACCAGCACAAGCCCAGGGGCTGGTGCCACACTCATAGCATGGGTACAAACACCCAGGGCAGATGGAGGGGAGGATTTCCCAGAGCTCAACACCCCCCCCCCTCTCAGGCTGCCCCCACTCCTACTGCCCCCAGTCCACCCTGTCAGGATGCCCTGGCAGTAAAAAAGGTCACTGTGCTGTGTTCCTGACCGGGCTCCACTCCTGGGCCAGTGCGACCGGGTAGCAAGGACTTGCAAATGGGGTGATGCACAGGCAGGTCTGAAGCCCAGATGGCCTTCGGAAGGGAACGAGGCGGGAAGAAAACTCCAACCCTCCCTGCCCTGGCAGCTGGGCTGGGGGCTGGTGTGTGCTGGAAGGAGGTGGAAAAGGGAGGATCAGATGCCTCTTCTGCATCCCACATGAAAATGTGTTTGCTGGCTCCCCCGTGGCGGCAGTGGCTCTGCTTTCCATTCCTTGACACCTCCTGCTCCCCAGCATGTCTCCTGGTGTGGGAAGGGAGTGTTTCACTGCTGAGAAGATGGCAGTGTGGGGATGGGGTCTGGCACTGCTCAGTCCCAGGGCAGGGATGTGTCAGCTCTTGTACATGCCAGGACAGAAGCCACATGCCTGTCCCAGGTGTTGTATTAAGCCTGCATGAACCTATCTTCCTGAGGCTAAAAGGAGGAGTGTGGCTATGGTAAGGGGATGCAGATCTGCTCACAAAGCCTGTGCCACTCACAGTGAGCTGGGAACACAGAAGGAAACCCCTGATAAGAGCGTGGCTTGGGTCTGCCATGCATCTCACATCCTCGCAGCCCCATCCAGCTCTGGATGCTCTCTAGGTTATCCTGGATAATGGGAGAAACGTGAACTGGGAAGGGGACAAAGGATGCTGGTGGGCTCAGTCTCAGAGTCTCTTTTCTCTGCAACAAGTGGCCAGATCCTGCCACCTGCCTGCAATGAGTTTTTCAGGGACACATGCTACACAAGTAGGTACTCTTTCAGGTGCCTTCAGTCCCTTCAATTGCAGGGGGATCCCAGCAGGCTCCCACCTGACCCAGGGAACAGGCTAAACTGAAAGTAGGGGTAATGCCCAAGCAAGCTGCCCCAGCTCTGGGAAGTGCAGGAAGTTCACTGCAAACA